AGCTAAAGGGCTATGGGCAGACGAGCTACCTAGTGTTCTATGGGCTTATCGAACCATAGTGAAGACCGCCACAGGTGAGACTCCCTTCAATCTCACCTATGGTACTAAAGCAGTCATCCCAACCGAGATCGAGGTTCCCTTGCTACGACTAGAAGTGTATGATGACAAGTCATATGAAGACGAGCTACACACCAACCTCGACCTCCTCGACGAAGTACGGGACCTCGCATATATTAGGACCGCAACCTACTAGCAGAGAGTAACTCGGTACTATAACGCCAAGGTCAAGAAGCGGAACTTCTGCGTCGACGACCTGGTCCTTCGCAAAGTTATGGTGCCTGAGCCCGGTGTTGGTAAGCTTAGGCCAAATTGGGAAGGACCCTACCAAGTAAAGCGAGTGCTCGGGGAAGGAACATACGAGCTTGAAAGCCTAGAAGGGAAACAAGTACCTCGGGCATGGAATATTGTCAACTTAAGGCAATATTACCTATAACTACTGAGTAGACCACGAGTCACTCTCAAAGCCTAAGGGCCAAAATGCCGAGCTAACGCAGACCTCGGCGCGATAAGACCCAGTCGCCTCTATGGCATGGGCGAACTACTGAGTAGACCACGAGTCACTCCCAAGACTAAGGGCCAATATCCCGAGCTAACGTAGATCTCGACGCAATAGGACTCGGTCACCTCCATGGCATGGGCGAACTCCAAGAGTGGACTATGAGTCACTCCCTCGGCCTAAGGGCCAAAACGTTGAGCTAACTAAGACCTCGGTCGGCATTGTGAAAGACCTAACTGTTTCATCGACAATGGCTAAGTATTAATACCAAAGGCATAGGAAACTCGGGCATGAGCCCTATGAAGTGCAGATCGCCTCAGTATACTAGTTGAGATAGATAAGGGACAACTCGAGCTCACTATGATAATCACCTCGGGGTATATCATAAAAACTACCTCAAGTATGGAGGAATAGCTCGGAGTAACAACTACCGAAAGATCCTACTCCGTACATGTAGCTCTAATAGCTCGAGTGATAAAATCGATTCGGCAGAAAGTAAAGAGCACACAATACTTAGTAGAAAAAGATAAGACATTTCATTACTAATTTTTATAAACAAAAAACCGGGCTTAACAGCCTGAGAAAAGTTCAACAGAAAACAAATAAAAAGTAGGGTCCAACTACCCAAGAGAGTTCATCAAAAAAAAGAAAAAGAAAAAAAAAAGAGAGATATTTAAAACCGGGTTCTAACACCTGGGAACCACCAGAATCCATTCAGAGAAAAAACTGAAAAGCAGCAACCGGCCTTAGGGATCCACTGCCTCCACATCCTCGTCATCCTCCGGAGAGTCAGGTTCCTCCTCCTCTGCTAGGTCTGCCGTCTCTGGATCCAGACCCTTCATTGTTATGCCATCGAGATTGAGCCCAAATAATTTCTTTCGGACCAGCCAGCGGCAGAGTTTGAATCCAGAACGGTAGGAGCTCGAGCCGTACTCCACCTGGAGGTCGTGGTACTCCTGGGAGTCCTTGAAGTCCCACACTGCCTTAGCTCGCTCAGCCTCCACCATAGTGTCAAAGTTCCGAGTCCGATCCTGAAGTGTGGACTCCATGTCCCGGACTTGCTGGCGAAGAAGCTCCCTCTCCGCTGCCACCCTCGATGACTCCTCAGATAGCCGGGCGATCTGTGCCTCCTGGTCCCGGATGAGCAGTTCATGGGCCTCGCTCCCCTTTTGATCCTGAAGGACTTCACCTCAGGCCCGATCGAGCTCGCCCTAGAGCTTCTGCACCTTTGACCTTTGAGCGAGAGCATCGCCGGAGTGAATGTTGGTCTGGAGGGCCATGGCATGGATGGCGGAGTTCACCTGTCAACAAAAGGCCGAGGTTAAAAAAGAAGAAAGAAGGAGAAGAAGAAAAAAGAAAAAAAAAGTAGTCACTTACCACCATGCAATGAGCGGAGGCTAGCCTGGCGAGCTGCTTGGTGTCCATCCCTCCCCAGCTAGCGACCTCCTCGTGGGAGGCTGCCTTTCGGCTCCTTTGTGAAGCCACGGTGAAGTCAGTGACGCTTTCCCACCCCCCGGTGGGAAACCGCGGGAAAGCGAAAGGGTGGGACTGCTCAGGCGGTGGGAACTGCCTTTGCGCCGGGAGCTCGGGCTTGGGCTCTTCTGTGCCACCTTCTGTGGCTACTCCCTCGAACGAGACCGGTGGGACCTCATGCCTTGGAGAAACGAAGGCTGGATCAGCAGCCTCGAACTCAACGCTCCCGGAAGTGGAAGCTCGGTCAGAGCGCGACCTCTTCACTCTGTGCGTCTGGTTGCTGGACAGAAGGCGGCGTGCGTCTACACCAGACATGATGACTGCCAAAAAATCACAAGGCATTAGTCCAATAAAAAAAAACACTTTTTTTACAAGGCATTGCACGACCTAAAAGGCAACCTACCAGGGTCAGGTCAGCCTGCGCGAGCTTGTCCTCGGTCAAGTAGTCCGACCAATGGAAGCCAACTGCTGCCTAGGATTGCAACGTTTCCCAAACTTTAGGATCCAAGTCAACGCCTGAATCCTAGATGGCGGCCCTCCAATGAGTTGGGAAGGGCCACCCTTCGAGGTTGCGAACTACAAAATAGTCCCGCTTCCAGGCCAGGATCCAGTTTGGCTGCTCGTGCAGGAGCTTGAAGCCGGGATGGGGAGAAAAATAATAGGAACGCCTTTCTGGAGGCGCTCCAGGGGAAGCATTCTTGATGGAGAGGATGGTGGAGAAGATGTCGAGGTCAAGGGGAAGACAATATTCGTAAAATAAAGAGATAGTCCCAACTACATTTTGGATTGAGTTGGGGTGAACTTGGTCGATAGTAACATTGAAGTGGTTCAAAACCTCCACTATCAGAGGATGTAGAGGAAGACGGAGGCCGGCGATGAGCTGTTCCTGGAAGATCACTATCTCGTCGGGACCGTGCTTCCAAGGATAGTCACAGGAAGAGAGACTGTAGACGAGGTCTCTGGGAAGGTCTAACTGAAGAACCAAGGTCCTAAGTCTCTCCATCGACATGGAGGAAGGACTGAAGCTATCTGGCTCCCTACCCCAGGAGGTGGAAGCTGTCTCACCGAAGGCCTCACAAGCCTCCAGGGCCTGGCCCCAAGCTCCCCTTGAGATCGAGTTGGCGTCATCTTGGTCACCACCCCGGGGAAAGTCATTGTACGGGTACCTAGACATACTGACAAAGTGTAAGACTCACTAGGGAAAGCTGAACCGAAAAGACGGAGTGAACGGAAGAAGAGCTCGAGCAGCTAGGTGAAGGCGTGACCTTAGAATCCGAAGGCAAGGCAAGTTGGCGTGAAGGAAATGAGGCCTGGGGTCCTCCTATTTATAGCCACTATGCCCACAAAACCAACAGCCCAGATTAAGGCAAATCTGACGATTCGCAATCAAGCTGACCGCACATCTCCTGAAACCAAAATGTGACTGGCTGCACGTCTTCCATCATTACGGTAATGTTGGCTGCACGACTTCCGAAGGTGAGAGCCGTTTCGGTGCGCTTTTTGGCATTCAAAAGGTCCTAACACCCGCGTATGTATTTAATGCGATTGATCAATCAAGTTTGAATTTCAGGTTAAATCCACTCGTCACACTCCATGAACTCCTCGCGTTAGAGTAGAATCCTTAGCTCGAGGAGTGTGGGGCAATTGATGGAGGATGATTTGACTCGACCTCCTGAGAAAGTGACACGTGGACATGACTCAGCATAAGCAACAGCTCAGCATATCAGCCTGTCTGCGGCTAAGTAACGAGCTCGCAAGACAGCTCGCTACATTACAGCTCACCACAGAATGAACTCGCTACAACGCAAGCTCGAGAACCCCAGTATGCTGAAAGGGAATAATCCAAGACAAGTCAATCCCAACTCGCTCCAATACTTAGGCAAGAAGACTGCCCCAAAAAGGCAACCTCAGGCGGAATCACATCGGGACACATCCAGGAACTCCCTACAAGGTAGTTCGCTATGGGATAGCTCGCTACAAAGCAGCTCGCTGTTAAGCGATGTGGAGTTTTTAGAAGCTTCTTACCTGACAAGACCGTACCCGTCAGACTACATCACGTCTCCTCGTTGACGGCACACTCCCTGCCAACCCAGCAGACTGCACCCACATCCCTCGACAGGTGGTGGCGTGTCTGTCCCTTCCGAGTACGTGTCTCACATCCGATTGGGCAATACCCTGCTATACTTACCTGTGCAGCCTTGGCAAATAACGGCTGCAACAGAGAGCCAGTGGCGGTTATGCCCGTTTTGACAAGAACACCTACATTTATAGGCCCCAGGGGTCGAAGGGGCGAAGGGATCTGAGAACTGGCATCTTGTATCTTGAGTAAATTTCGAACTTTGACTGATCTAGTGCTACCCACACTCTTAGCTTTCTCTACATTCCTTACCGCTTTCTTAGGTGTTCTAACTTAAGCATCAGAGTATTCCCACCGGGCAAGTCCCCCGGGAATCCTTCACCGTCTTCTTCTCAAGTACCGTTTGTCGCCAACTAGGAGCCAGTCGACTGCCAATTAGGAGTGCCCGGATTGCATCAGAATGTATTTGGAGAATCATTGATCGGATTATTAAGAAGCAAATTGACATTTTTGGGGGCATCTAGGAGGAAAGAAACTCTGCGAATGTTTAGGATTGTACCCATATCGTTAGGAATATGTATGAAGGGACCTTCTTCTGTTTTGGTTAGTTCATCCATAACAAATTAAAAAGATATAGACTACTGACAAAAAACTTAACCATCCATTGCTATAATCTCTTTTTAATGATGGAATGTATTTATAGTGACGAAATTTTAAATTCATCATTATAGAGTTATTTATAGTGATGGATATCACTGTACGTCCATCACTAAAATCCATTTTTCTTAGTTAGGGTTCTATCAACAAATAATTCACCAATACAAATAGGAATCATATATTATGAAATACAAAGTATAAATAATAAATATAATAAAATATAGTCAATGTCATCGATATGGATAAAAAAAGAAATCTACAGTTTTAAATCTAGTTCAGAGAGTGGAAGTGTAAAGGTTTTGTTGTATATTTCATTATTTGTTGCTTCAAATTTGATGAACTTCTTTCAGTTCTGCAATAGCTCTGAGTCCCTCCAAGACATGAACAATCTGCTAGGTTCAAATCATAATTAAATTTTTAGGAGAATCCATGCAAAACATAAAATCTAAACATAAATCAGTACAGACAGAATTTTAACCAATGTTTTTAAAACTAGAAAGGAATCACTTCTCATGTGGTGGATCAATGGTTCGACCATGGATCATATGAATGGATATCCATGATGTACATAGCATCAATGAAAAAAAAAAATAGAAAATTATAAAATTATAAAAAAATAAGCACATATGTTTCTAAAATTATATATTCCTCATAATAATAAAATCAATTGCAAAAAATGAGAGTCACCATTATTAGTGATGAAAATTACTAGAAATACAAAAAAAAAAAGAAAACATAACAGTAAGACTCAGTTTGGAAGGAGTACAGATACAAATATATACAGTGCACATGCATGCAAAATAATATAAAATATAAAATTTTGCACTTTACATATTTGTATTTGTACTCCTTCCAAACTGAACTTAAAGAGTAAACATCTAAACAATAACCCACTACCAGGTCCAAAAGTTAAGTAATTCAAAAAGTTGGGCTATTTCATTGATTGAGTCAAATGAGTTCTTGCAGGTGAAGGATGATTTGAGAGTGAAATACACCTGTAAATGAGTAGGGATCTCCTGCAAACAAAACATGTTCAATAACCTACACATTGCACATCTCACTATAAGATTATAAGATTAGGACCCACCATAAAAAAGGGACCCAGCATGTATGAGATGTATGCAATATTAGATCATGTTGGTAGGGTGTTGAAGCATATTTTGTTGGTAGAAGATCCGGACTCCCTATAAATATGACCAGATGACAGTTTGACGGATCGGATTGGCCAGTTTGACTATGGGTCCAAACATTGTATCCAAGATGCTTACCATGCTCATGCAGGGTCGATGCAATGCAAAAACACGCACACAAGCATTTGCACAAGCAACCATGCGTTCCATCTCAGTGGCGTTGTAGTCCTGTAACCGTGGATCAACAAATGCATCATAGTTGCCATTCTCTATAGCTTGTGTGAGCAAAGGCCTCACCTACGATTTCAAAATAGTGAGATCAATCGTGTAAATTTAGCCAGTCTTATGCAAATTGTACAGAATAAGAGAGAGCCCACATTTGTTGAGCAATGCTACCATGCTAGTAAATTGTTCTAGTTCTTCATGCCACAGTTAATGGAATGACAGCATCTTTGAAGGGTTTAGAACTAGGGGTGTTCTGATGCAAGGACATACTCACCGAGTCTACAAAGCTAACATTTAGGTCGAATCGAGATTCATGAAATGGGGAGCATCCGGTAATCAACTCTAACAATGTGACCCCAAACGAATAAACATCTGATTTTACTGTTAGTTTCCCGGTGGATGCATATTCTGGAGCAAGATACCTGTGGAAAGTCAAAAGTTGTTAATTTTAAGAGGAAAAATGAAAAGGATTAGAGTAGAACATAATCACAATAAATGCCGCCGGTGACCGGTAGAGAAGAAGAAAATCACATTTGAGATTCAAAACAGGGTTCCAAGTCCGTCGGAGAAGGAGAAGCCACTTACCGGAGGGTCTTACCGCTTGCCGCTGGTTGCTGCTGGATATGGATATGGTTGAATGATTCACCGCCGGAGGTCAGTGAATCAGTGAGGATGCCGCCGATTTCTGTGTTCTCAAAACTACGTACGGCTCGAGTGACTTGAAAATGGGAGGAGTGGGGGAGAGAGGGAGATGAAACGAAGGGATGGAGGGCTCTCGATTGATTTTGTTTTCGTCCCACCCGGTTTAACCGACGGTTATTTAAGCTAACGGCGATCGAGGTGTCGCGCATGACTCGAAGGGGCAACGTGCACGCCTCCTATTGGAGGGTTCACGGGGGTTCACTGAATCTCGCCTCAATGCCAATGGCCTGAGTGCTAAATTCATTTGACATTTGACTTGGCGTTGCTCATTTGTCAAAAACAGAAATGAGAGTAAAAATGATTTGCACCCCTCCCCCACACTGAAAAGTAGTGATGGGCGAGGGGGAGGAGGACTTTTCATCATTAGGAAGGAAATAAAGTGGGAGGTAGAAGTGCAAATTTTGCTCAAGTGCAAATGATAATTACAAAAAAAAAATTAAATTAACTAATAAAATAGTTGCAAATTTTATATCTGCTTTTTACACAGCAAACAAACATAAGAAGCACCACACTCCCTTTGTTTCTTGGGTAAATTAATTAGCATGCAAGGTTGAAGTAGATAAAATTCACTTATCAATTACCACGGAAAAATAAATTAAATTAATGATAGTCACAAACAAACTTTAGGTGTTTATAACGAGTTGTGAAACTTAAATAGTTTAATTTAAAGAAATGGCCCTTACCCAAAAGTTCCCATTATTCGGGTTGAAACATGGGTATCAGTACCAGTAAAGAATTTTGCCAACCCAAAATCTGCAACCTGAGAAAACAGTCCTAGTTAGTTAACTAAGTTATAGAAATGGGATTCCAAATTCAAGATAGCAAGTAGATAATCATATCACATAATCCAAACAGATGCTAATATATGCGTCTTTTTAAGTTTCCTTAATTATAAAATGTGCAGTTCCGTTCACTACAACAACTTGGTTTTGATTTCTGTGTACACCACTCTTATTGGGCTTTCCATACACACACACAAAACCTTTGCCTCAAATTTAGAGTCAAGGAGAATATTTGTAGCCATAATATCACGATGGACAATCTTAGGATGACCTATAGATATAATTGCTTAAAGTTAAGTAAGGTTAATTAGAATAAAACAATACCTCATGACTTGTCACTAGAAAGTAAGGTTAGAATAAAACTCACAGTCCTCATGCAGATATGCAAGTCCTTTTGCAGTTCCAATGGCGATTTTTAGTCTCGAAGCCCAATCCAAAGTTGGTTGATCTTTCCCTGCAATCATTTTTTCTTCTTTTATTTCTTTGAGAAAAGTTCTAGAAGGTTGATAGGAGAAATATATAGAAAGACATACCATGTAAGTGGAAGTCCAAGGTCTTGTTTGGAACAAATTCATAAACAAGCATTCTTTGATTACCATTAACACAATACCCAAGCAATGAAACCAGATGTTTGTGATGTACACGGCTAATAATTTCAATCTCAGTAAGAAATTCACGGTCGCCCTGTCTACTTTTTTCTTTAAGACACTTAACCGCTACTTCATTCCCATCAGAAAGGATTCCTTTGTAGACATATCCGAAACCACCTGCTCCTATGTCTTCTGAGAATCCATTGGTTGCTTCTGCTAATTCTTCAATTTCGAATGCCTTTGTTGAGAAGGACTGCTTAAGTTGATTCTCTAACACTGAATGCACGGGCCCCCAACCTCCGGTGCTGCTTGAGACCGGAGGTGGAAGCTCTGAATTGTATGATGCTGAAAGCAGCTGCTGTGGTGATTCAGCTGCTAATGGAGGTGAAGACTTTGGTAGCATTGGTACCTCACAACCTTGCGGTGATGCTTTGAGTTCCCATTGTTGGGGCTGAGAATTCTGACGATTATCTGATTGTATTGCCCACCATCATGAATAAGAATAAGAAAATTTCAGGAGTAACATCAATGAGTACAGGAAATTTGTGTAAGAGAATCCTACTAGTTGCAAGCAATCTGTTACGGTTCTAAATGTTAAAAATGCATATTTGTAGAGTGCAAAACTATGTATTTGTACTGTAGATATTTGTTTTTGCATTCCTTCTATATTGAGCCTAACTATATTATTTTGCACTCTTAATTAATGCAAAATTTGTATTTTTTGTCTCATTCACATCAATTGAGTCCTTGAGAGTGCAAAATTTGTATCTTAAAATGCTGATATAAAATTTATACCACTGTACCACTTTCCTTCTCCCCTAGTTCCCTCCCATCCCATAGAAAGTGAGAGTCTGTACTGTTTGATTCCACCATTCAACTCATTAAAGAAAAGTACAAAACAAATTAATTAGAAAAATATAATATCATTCCAGATCATTTTTATAGTATATATGCTTATCACATTGAGAAAAGCATAAAACAATAAATATTTAGTAAAACACGTATTTAAAGTGTGTTTAGAGAATTCGTGCCATACAGCAATTCTTGCAGAATAGAGGCAAAGATAAGAGGAGATTCAAAATTACTCATCAAGCCACCCTCCGAGATATCTACATCAACCACTTCTATCAAACTTCCAGCAGGAGCGGCCTTAATATTCAGTATTCTCATTTTCATAGGAAAGGATAGCCCATTTTCCTCTTTATCAAGAAAAGCCGGTAATGTGAATGGACATGTAGCCATCATTTAACAGGGAGCAATGCCAAAGTCTGCAAGGTTGTCTTTGGTATCAATGTTGTTACTTGTTTCTATATAGAACGTCTTGAGTAGATCAATATATATAAATTGTTTCTCTACCCGAAATGTTTCACCTAGTCTCTTTTTAACAGATTGCTTTGGTCTGAGAATTTCTTTTTTGGTTTGATCTAGTTTTCTAAAATTTAGAAAGATGACCAAAACGTAAAATAGATTAAACCGAATTATTAATAATGTATATAATTATATTGTTTGCATGGATGCTAGGAGTGCTCACGATTCGATTAATTGAACCGTGGGGTGATTTTCTAGACCAAATCGACCTATTCAATTTTTAAATCTAATCAAACTGAAACCGAACCGATATAACCGGTTAACCACGGTTTGATTTTTCGGTTTTTTATGTACTGAAATTTAAAGAAAAAAGGTAAAAAACCTCTTCCCTCTTGCAGATTGAGAGTGAACAGAATTAAGACTGAGATGACATGAGAGATTGAAAGAGATGAGTGACTAAGATTGAGAGAGAAGAGGAAGATGTTGGGGAAGAAGAAGAAGAGTGTGAGAGAGAGAGAACAGAGAGTGAGACAGTTGGTTGCTTGGTCGGACGTCGGTGATGGTGACTCGGTTGTCGGAGGCCATCTATGATTCGGTCAAAAGTCAGAGTGTCGGAGTCTGTCGATCCGTTAGGGAAGAAGAGAACTAAGACTGAGAGTGACAAAGAAAGCTAGAGTCGTAGAGAGAGACTTATTAGGGAAAATGGAAACTAGAAAGGCACGGCGGAGGTAAGGAGGCTTATTAGGGACGAAGAGAGAGACTGCTAGTCTGGCTATCAGTCTGCCGGCCTTTTGAAGAGAAAGACTGAAAGCCTAAAACCTAAGGTCTCAGTTCGGCAGTTTGGTACTCTCAGACTGCCGAACTTTTTTATTTGATTTTCAAAAAATATAAAAAATATAATATTACATAAATATATTATATATTGGTCGGTTTAATTAACCGTTGATTTTTTAAATGATTAACCGAAACTGAGATCTCTAAACCAAACCAAATTGGGTTATGAACACCCCTATCTCTCGTCCCTTTCCTCTTAACTTCCATCCTCAGTCTCTAGCTCAAGGAAATTAGGTACAGCAGTACCTATCCAATAATTAATATATGAGATCATCCTTTAGGAATTTGGCACGGTGGGGACGTAAGTGTTTCCAGGGCTTCTTAGAGAGCTCAAATGATTGTACAACAGATTGGCAATATCCAAGCATTGCCCCCCACCACGGACTCAATTGCAAAAGAAAGGTGTCTTGAAAGGGAATATGCCGATTGACTAGAGAAATTACTAGACCCAATAACTAGAATGTGGGATGAACAGAAACTCTCCAATTTTTTGATGCAGTTGTGGTGAGTGCAATCAAGAGAATACCGTTGTATTTCGACGGGAAGAGCAATAATGATAAACTGGTTTGGATTAAAGTAATCTCCATGTATAAGAAATAAGTAATGGTACAACTTTAACCGTCATCAACTGTGAACAAGATGTGGAGAAGACTGTGGGCTTCCAAAGGCCTACCACCAAGAGTAGTGCAACTCTTTTCATGGCGCTGCTTAGTCGAAGCGGTATGCTTCGTGCCAGCCTAGCTGCCTAGAGTAAGAAAGTAGATTCTGTTGGGAATTTGGATTATTGAAACTTGGAGGAGAAGTTTTGAGGCGCATCTTAAGATATTGTCTTTATTTGCCCCCACTCAGTTCCACTGAATTTGTTGTTGGGTTACAGGCAAATCTATTCTTAGGATATAATAGAGTCTTGAGAGAGAATCTACAACTAATAAAGTTGAAGAGTATCCAAAGAAACCTTTTGTAACACAATAACAGATTGGATTGAGAGAAACAACAATGATTTTTTAAATTGTGTGTAAAAGTTTGATTCGTGCTCCTTAAATAATTTCTAAAGTCATGGAACCGAGAAAAGTGATTGTTCAGAAAAGGCTCATTGAACAATTACAATTTCAAAAATAATGGCTGTTAAAAGTTAGTTAATAATTTATGACCGTTAACTTTGAATGGTGCCTCTTGATCACACTTGATTGAATCGTGACCATTGAAACATCAACAGTCAGCCTCGCAATAAAAGTTAAAGCCATCCTTCACGAGCCATGCAAAGTGCCAGCAAAATACACTTTTAATGCGCCTCATTGTGCCACACACCACGGACACACGTGCATGCGTGTTGCGTGGTAGCAAGCCTCTATACTCTCCTCTTTATATCTAAAGAGTGTAAATAATCTCCTATTTAAAAACCCAAAAAAAGTCTTATAATTTTCCAAGGAACAAGTTAAAAACTTGTTTTAGTAAGAGGAAAAGCTATTTTAAGATATGAGTGCAGGTGCGTTTTTCATGTAATTGATCAATCAAACCCCATTGGATTTAATCTCTAATGAGATTAAAATCCAATAGATCCTAACTGTCCGTTGTGTGGAATTTAGGAGGTCTAAGGCTCAATTTGGAAGGAGTATAAATACAAATATGTAGAGTGTAAAACCATCTAATTTGTATTATTTTGTATGTATTTGTACTCTTTCCAAATTAAGCCTAAGGCTCGATTTGGTAGGAGTATAAATACAAATATGTAGAATGAAAAATCCTGTATTTTGTATTGTTTTATATGTATTTATACCGTACATATTTGTATTTGTACTCCATCCAAACTAAGCCTAAAGTGCAATTTTACGTTAAGACTTTTGCTCAGATTTAATACATTATACCTTTGTAGAATGGATCCATTGGTAGTTTGATCGGGTGGGTCACAAATGGAACATCAAAGTGATGAATGAAATGTTGATCATCGCCTGGCGCATTTGGAATGCTAGATGTGCATTTCTTTTCAAGAATGTTACACCAGATCGAAGGAGAGTTTGGATGCAAGCCGCAAACTTAATTGAGGATTACAAGCATTCCCACAGTAGCTCTTCGATAGAAGAAAATACTGAGGAAGCAAGTATCCATACTCCCTCATCATCCACATGGATGTCAGCTCCACTGGAGTATTTTAGGGTAAATGTGGATAGAGCTTCTTGCATGAAAGAGAGGTGTCGAGAAATGGAGATGTAGTGGGTCATAAATTGGCTTCACAATTCCAGCTTCAAAGAATTATCTTAAAGGAGATTCATCACATATTACATAGTCCTTGTCCCAAGTTTTTTCTATACCTCCTTGGCGAATTAGCTCCATAATTGCCAATTGAAGGGCTCCACAAAGAGGTACACATCACTCACACCCAACGATTGAGAAATAAGGTGGCTCACTTTTTAGCTCAAGTGGCTTTATCTCTAGCAATAGTCCGGATCAGATAGGTAGAACATTGTAAGTATATTGATTTGAGAGGGGGAAAACTGGTCAATGGGATTTTAGTTCTCATTGACCGAGAATTCCATGTTTTTTTTTTCTTTTAGATTTATGTAGGAATCAGGGAAAGTTTATTTTTCTGGGTATCACCCATCTCCTAGGTGGGTAAATAACTTTCGCACCTAGGGAGAAATTTGCCAACACTTGAATGGGACGAAAATGCCATTTTTAATAATAGATTTTTATGGCTAAAATGGTCATTGCCTTATTTACATGAGAAATAAAAGAACATGGGTAAAAGTGCTTCCCCAGGTAAATGTTTTCCAGGAAAAACTTACCCAAGTATTTACCTGGATAAGAAACTTCCTGAAAAGTGAATGGGGCCTAAATATTAAAAACCATTTTTGACAGTGACAGTTGTCCCCTTCTCCTTGCATTCAAAATATTTTCTTAGAGGAGCTAGGGATGTCAATGGGTCGGGTTCGGCACAGGTTTGCCTCAATCCTAACCCGACCATCCGACACTTCAACCAAAACCCAAACAGACCTACATGATTTCTGAACCCGACCGGTCCTATAAGGTTTAACCCGATTCCGACCCGACTTGATCTATATAGTTTTAAATGTATTTCTTAACACATTTTAAAGACCTTAAATAAGGATATTGTTTTATAGATTCTAAGGTGTTATTTTTTCCATTTAAAAAAAAAAACAAAAGAAAATCAACATCAACATATAAATAAATTATAAACTTTAAGGTTTTAAAGTTAGAAGTAAAAAAATTGCAAGAATACAAGGCATATACGCAAGGTATCATGACCCGGCAGGGCGGGTCAGCCAAAACCCGAATCCGACTCGGGTAAAAATAATCAAAACCCTAGCCCGACCCTAAACCAAATAAACTTGACTCTAACCGGACCTTATAAGACAGGGTCAATCTGAATCAATTAACCCAACCCATTGACATCCCTAAGAGGAGTCCTCTTTCAGTGAATTTGGTGTGGGTAATGTCTGAGTTTGCCTACGGCCGGCTAAGGGTGTCAATGAACCAGTTTTGGTTTGGACCCCATCCAGTCCAAAATCATTTTGGATGGATTGGACGGACCAACAAGATATCTTGATTGGACCAATCCAGTCCAAAATATTTATTAATTTGGATTGGACCTAGTTCACTAATATCTGGTCCATTAATATAAGATAAGAATATGTGTGAATGGATTGGACCTGGTCGATTTAAAATGGACTCACATTCGATTGAATCGAATTGTACCAAATCCAGTCAAAAAAACAAAAAATCATTTCATATAGATAGCTAAATGACGGTTTGCTGACTAACAGACATTTAATTATGATCAATGAATATGGGGTCACCATAAATTATTGCCGTAGATTCTACATTTCAGATACCAATACCCGCCACCATTTGATTGGTCCTATCCTGGATCAAAAGCAGTTTGAAAGGAAAGTCTCATAGCCCTCCAATTTTATTGCAATTGATTGATGAATGCGTCAGTAAAGTATTTCAATTAATCTAATCTAAGAGGACACCTATAAATCGGTGGGACGTTCTCAGACCCAATACATCACAACACAGACACAGCTACCAGCACAAGGTAGGTTAGGCATCATCTGACATTGTAAGTATAGATACCTTTAATTATTGTCGTTTTATAAAACTTAATAGAATATACCCTCGGTAGCCAAGCCTAGAAAAAAAAAGAGTATGTATTGGAACAAAACTCAACCTTCTCAACGGTCGACAACAAAGCTCAACAAGCACATAATTGGAACATAATTCAACCTTCTAATAAGTAGCCATGAAACATAACTAAAGGCTGTGTTTGGTTTGAAGAAAAAAAATAAGAAAAGAAAGGAAAAGGTGGAAAAACTTTTATTAATCTTATATAATTTTCCTACTTTTCCCTTTCTTTCCTTTTTTTTTTTCTTCAAATCAAACATAGTTTAAGATGGCATTTCATAGCACTTTCCAACTGTCTAACCTGTAAAAACTTGTTTTTCAAGGTAAGGGGCATTAAAGATTAGCTTATTTTTAACATCTAATAAGAGAAAAATCTTAGAAATGGTAAGATTTGGTCTTATGTCTTATCAGAATCAGACGTGATGAAATGATGTTAATTCCTCATTATTATCACCCATTTAATAAATAATAATAATAATAATAAATGAGGAATATCTTTTTCCTAGGATTATTTCATCTTTTGATGACCTCTATTTTCCCTGGGTATTTTATGTACCACTAGAGAATGTAAAATAATATTTTTTCTATAGCCTATTATTCGAGTGAACCGAATTAGGATTTAGGAAGCAATCCTTAAATCAGAAAACTTAAGGTTGAGGATCATATTTCCCGATTTTGAAACAAATTCCTGTCCTTGACCCCTATTTTCATTGACAATAAAAATGACTCCATTCACGATCTCCAACAGAGACAGGCATTCTATTAAGAACTCAAATATCCAAAATTCTCAAAATTATAAATTATTATTATATATATAATTGGAGTCGGATGGGGCGGGCCGGGGAGGGAGAAAATTAAAATAGGCGAGAAAGACTAAGTCCAAATTAAATGATTTTTTGTCACTTTCTTTCAAATCTTTTGTTAAGAACAAGTAGAGATTAATTAATTCTATACGACCCCAATATTTAAACCAGAAAGCACCAGTTGATGTGATATTTTATACATTTTTCTTTGTAAAACTGGGTGCTCGCATTTTATTGAGGGTCTCCAGTCCAGGCGTAGGTTTCACATTCCATGCACAACAATATATTTGATGTATATGATGCATTTATAGATTGTAGGGTGTTGCTGTGGCTAAAGGTGAATACGCACCAACTGTTCATTGACTTTTTGTTCAAGTTGTAACCCGTCAATATATAATAAAAGAAAGCTATTGATTGGTTTACTAATGCAGATCATGACTCACCACATGATTGGACTGGCTTACTAATAACCTTATCTTAGCTTGTTTTTGCCATTGCTGCATCTACTTATAAATATTTTAGGTTGGTCAATATAAATTTTTTGAGAAATTATCTAATTACGCTACATCAAATAATCACTTGTACTAAAAAAATATAGGGATTTTTGGATGGCACTCTACCTCAGAACTCTGATTTGGACTGTAGACCTATAACAATTTAAATTTATAAATAGCTCCATCTATATGTGAATTGATATTAATTCCGAACTGATACCTACACGGTAAAACTAGGATTTACAGAAATCCCAAATTTGATATTTCCTCAACAAAACAGCAATGGTGTTAAATGTTGTATTGATAAATCAAAGCATTTGTAACTGAAAATTAAAAAAAAAAATATTCTCATAAAATTTGTATAAATGGAAATGGTATCAAATGCAACCTTAGTTTGATGAGAAAAACCGAAAAAACTTAGGTTTTCAGATCCACCGACCCCAAAACAACCTCAGGACAACCGGAGACTCCCCTTAGTCTGACTAGAGTTGCTTGCTTGATCATCATATATGTTCACAACTTCCTCTGTGCTCATAAATTCGATGTTTTTCGGAAATGTAGTCCCTCTAATTCCAACTTCTTAATTAAATAGAGAAGCTAGATCTCAGAGATGTGTCTGTAGTGGGTCAGATTTAGCCATAGTGGTCTTATTAATAAAATGTTAGTTTAGTGATTAATATCAAGATTGGTCATTTCATTTTGTCCTAGATTGCAGTTTTTTCTCTCTATGAATGGTAAGCTATGATCATCCACATGGATATCATTATAAAGAGGATTAATGCGGGACTAACTGTACATATAGGGATGGATATAAGGATATTTCGAGCAAAAAGCTTTTTATCAATGTAGGACAATTATTTTAGGCTGTTGAACCTATCATGCAATGCATAAATTAAAAAAGAAGAAGAAAGAGAAACTCTAACCTCTATTTGGAGCCTCAGGGGCTGAGGTTCGGATGTTTGAACTTCCAGTTCCAGCTGCGTTTTCTCCTCGCTTTTTCTTCTTATACCAAACAAATAATAATAATATAATGCAAACTACACCAATAACCGCCACGATTCCAGCTGCTAGCAATCCTGGTGAGAGTCCAGTGGATTTGCCAATAGAAGGTTGTAGCAACGTAGGCGACGATGGCGGCTCTGAACTTGTAGGCTCTGGCGACAGTGGAGCCGGTGAAATCAGCGGTAGTGACTCTAGAAGTCGTGAAGGTGGCAATGGTGGTGATGGTGGAGAAACTGATACCAGTGGTGGTGGTGGTGTTCCATAAATAGAGGCATATCTTGTAGATAGAAGAGATACTGGCAGCGATGCATGTATGAGGTCATTCAGGTTTGAAAACCATGGCGATGGTGGAGAGGCAAAGAGAAGATTGGGATCCACAGGAGGAGGAGGAGGCAAACTTGAAGATGTGGCTTCTGGAGGCAACGGTGAGAAAAGCCTACGTGATGGTGAAGATCTCCGAAAAATTATGGGCATGACTAATGCTTTTCTGAAAGAGGAATGGAAGCAAAGGAAGGACTGTGGCAAGGGTAGGGATGGATGTCAGTGGGTGGGCTTAAGTGATGAATCCTTATTAAGTAGACTCTATTGGGTTAGGGATCAACTTAATTGGGCTTCCGATTTGGTTTTCAATGGGAGCCAAACCGTTGACATTGTAGGTGACCGGGTTCGTTTACCTATTTTATTTAATCGGGTATGCGGGTTAGAGGCTTTAGAGCTAATTTGGGTTAGGTTCGGGTTGAATTGAAAACGTTTTGATCCCAAACCTCTCTTTTTTTGGGCACTTGTGCTCAAATGATACCAAATAAACTTATGGTTTTGGTCGTCACAGGCTCACAGCCTCTTGCAGCTGTGCATTGGAATATCTCCCTCTGAATGACCAAATGGGAGTTCTCATAAAAGTACTTAGTAATTAAGTGGGTTTTCATCAAAATTTTTGGGGTTTTGATTAGTCAGAGTCTTTTTAGGATTATAGATTTTTTCTTTTTGGATTTAGTCCCATCCAATATTTTCAAAACCGGATTAAACCGGATGATTGGACTGGAAAAACCGGGAACCGCTCACCTGATTGGTTCCGTTTCATCCCAGCCGCTTTTGGCCAAAAGTGGTTTTGGCCATTTTTAATTTTTAATTTATTTTTTTATTTTTTATGTTTTTGTTAGAACGGGCCATCCATTCAGTTTGAATGGTCAGACAGTTCAACTTGGGAATGGGACCCCAGAAAGTTCCCTATTCAATTTGGTTTTAAAAACTTTGGTCCCAACACAAGTCCCAACAGTCAATATTGCAGCCATGCATTCAGAACATCTCCCTTGTCTTTCTGGCAAGATGTTCCTAATGTACATCTTTAATGGATATTGGGACTAGGGCTGTCAATGAGTCAGGTCCTACTTGACGGACCCGATGACCCAAACCAATTGCATGGTTCTAGTTCTAGGAACTAAAACCGAAGGTCAGTTCTGGGTCCTGATATAGTGTTCGAATTAGTATCGGTTCAGAATTGGTTCCACCTAGTCACAAACTGGTTCACCCAACCCATCTAATATATATATATATATATATATATATTTATTTATTTATTACAATCAGGTCCATCAAGTCAGACTCGATTATTCCAAGAACCGATAGATTCGATTTTAGGTCTAAAAGCTGTAGACTCTATTGGATCCGATTTGGTTCTAGGTCCTCAATATTTTCTATGGAATCGACTCCGTTTCTAGTTGGTCCCATCCGAAACTTGAACTGTTGACAGCCCTAGTTGGGACCTTGTATTGGGATCATACCCCACCTAGTTGGGACCCTGTGTTGGGATCACATCCCAACTCTATACTTGGAGGTGTGAGATAAGTGATGGGATCTCTTGTCAAAAAATCTTTCTCAAATGCACATACAGCCTGGATATGCATGAGTATCGGGGAAAAAACTAAGATACTTATAGATACGCTTGGAAATACTATAAATACTTTAGTAAATCATAAAATACATTCACAACACTAAATATAAGACCTCAATGAGGTATATATACATTAAACTAATATATTTTAATGGTTTTATGAAGTAATATATTGTAGTTAATTATAATTTCATTAAAAATCCTATGCTTAAGTATATATACATTGCCACAACTTCTAAGTGAAAAAATAATTAATAATTATTTATTATTTAAATAATTAGTTTTATTATTTATTTTCAAAAAATATAAAAAATAAATAAACATTATATAATATTTTCAAAAAATAGTTATTAAAGAAGAAATTTCAATTGATTTGTGGATATGATAGATCATCCATTGAATTATAATATATTCAATCATTGTGATCAAATGACAAAATATAATTAATTAATTATTTTTTAATTCTATAAATATAAAAATAAAAATTAATAATTATTAAAGAAGAAATTTCAATTGGTGTATGGATATGATAGATCACCCATAGAATTATAATATATTGCTGTGATCAAATGATAAAATATAATTAATTATTATTTATTTTTTAATTCTCAAAATACAAAAAAAATATTAAAGAAGAAATTTCAATTGCTCTATGGATATGATAGAAAAATCCACAAATCTAAAACATATTTAGTCTTTATTGGTAGAGAAAAAAATACATTTTCAAATTTTTTGTTAATTTATATTTTCCACACATATCTTCACGATTTCCATAAATCTAGAGATAACACATAAATAAATGTGATTTTGAATGTAAGTAATGTATATTAACATAAATTTATACATTCAAGAAAAAAGAAATCATAAGATATTATAAAAATTGAAGAAATTTACCTAATTTTACCATATTTTTTCAAAATTTGAAAAATCTTCAAAAAAAATTAACAATTCACACTTGTTTCTTGCAAATTTTTGCAAATTTAACACTCTAGGAATGAGGTTTGGAGTTTTAGTGTCATTTGGGAGAGTGAAAGAAGCTTACTTTTTTCCTTTATTTTTTTTTTTTTAGTTTTTTGCTATATATTTTTTGTTGATACACCTCGATACAGCTCCAGTATGCCCCGATACACCCCCGATACATCTTCGGTACACCCCGATACGTCCCCAATATGCCTCAATTTTCCACATAAAATCGAGGCCCGCCCCAGGGCAGGTTTTCCCCGACCCTAAACAAGGACGGGGCGGGGTATGGGGCAAGGTATCTCGAATTTGGGGCGGGGACGGAGAGGGGGTGCCCCGCCCTATACCCGCCCGTGTGACGGATATAGGACGGATTCATGGAGCCCGTGTGACGGATTCATCGGTCCTGATATAAGTTACTTTTCAATTGTAGTTGTAGCGTGCAAAACATGTTGACTTGACGGATTCATCGAACCCGTGTGATTGTGCAATAGGATTTTCTGCAATCAAAATCTCTACTTTGAAAAAATATAAGCATCCAGCCAAATATTAGAAATATTTTTGACGAATTTAACATACATATACACGGAGATATTCTAAATATGTTGCCCGATGTGATGTATGCAAATTAAAATTTTTGCTTAAATCTAGGCTATTTAACTGCAGGTTTTCTTTGATACAACGTGAATATGTAATAACAAAATGTGTCCTGCTACACTTGTGTCAGGATCCTGACTCAGATTGGCCACATGATGTGTCTGAAATCCACCTATAATTCATGCTACATGTGTTATTTTTAATCCAAATATTAGTTGTACAGCGGTTTCAATTGTTTTTATATTTGATAAACAACCAAATTAGAAAAATATTTTAATATCTTGGCCGGGTATTTTGGTACTTAAACGATTATAATAATTAAGTAGCCAAAGCATAAAAGATTATAAGGTGGTATGGGAAGAGAAAAGTGATATATAATAGAAAATAGTAATAAGGACTGAAGAGAACATGTAGTGCACTTTTGGCCCTCTAAATATATTTCCACTTGAAGGACCTCTAAATATTTTAGATTATTGCTATATTAATAACTTAGTTGTATGCATTGACTTCGGAATCAATGTCTTCCCGTATGGTGTTTAGTCATGCCTCATATATATTGCATTATATTGAACAATGCTTTTAACCCGTTGTTTATCTGGCAGGTTGTTAAGATTTCAGGTCTGGTTTAATTAAGACCTGTTAGATGATTAAAAGCTGTTGATTTGGTCAATAATTATTTGATCTGATCAGTTTGACCGTTGATCCATTCGATTTGGTCATCAGGTTACAGGTTGTGCATTTAATGTATGCAAATTTTTGGAGGTCATAATTTTGTATTCTGATGTTTAATTGAAGTGATTTTTTTTGAGTAATTTTTCGAGACCTATGCATTCCAAGGATCTGTAGGTACCTTGCCCCACTATTTTGGCAAAAAAACTCTTTTTGGTCTCAAATTGCAATTTTTAATATTTTATTTATAAATAAAAGAATTAAAAACTGAATTAAAAAACATATATTAAATATAAAAATATATATAACATACCAAAAATATATTTATGCATTATTTGTTGATAAAATATATATTTATACACATATATGTGTGTGCACGCACAAACACACACACACACACACATATATATATATTATGACATGGCACAGTCTAAACCATTCGACCTAGCCAGTCAAACCAGTGACCCGTGACCTAGAGGCAAAATGGTTCAACCTACAAGTCGGTTTTTATAACATTGATATTGAATGCTTGTATAATTATCATTATTAGAAATATTTTTAATGACCAAAATATCTCTAATCCTTTATTGCAAGGTGGAAACTAGTGGGCTAGTAAGGTTTTTCCTTATTGCAAGGTAATTAACCCCCCCCCCCCCCYCCTTTTGCATGTGTTTGGAAACATTACATTTATGCATTGACAGATGACAAACCAATGCATATTTATATTAATATTAAGATGCAAATAAAAAGAAGTAAGTTTGCATACAAGTGGGATTGTGATAAAAAAAAAGTATATGCTTTATTGGAATTCATGTTTGCATCTATTATAGCTAAAAGTCTGTTCGGTAAAAAGGTAAATTTGTCAATGCAAAACTAACCAAATTTTGTAATTTATGTGAATCATTTTACACTCTACATATTTACATTCACACTTATTTGCATCATTTCCAAACACAGCCTAAGACTTAGTTTTGGAAGAAGTGGTACAAATACAAATATGTAGAGTGCAAAACCTTGTATTTTGTATTTGTTTTGTACATATTTGTATTTATACTCCTTCCAAACAAAAAATCTTGTTTTAACACTTAATAACAAAAGTATAGCCCAACAAGAAATATGAAGACATAACATAAATGGGCCAAGGCCCATACTATTAAGTCCCACAAGCAAACGTGTGAAAGAAATAGTGGTGCCATCCCAAAAACAACAAGAATTAATTGACATTTTTTATTAGTGCTTGCATTGTCGATTGGTTTGTTGATGTTGAATAAACTCTTATTTGTTTTTGGTTTGAAAACATTTTAGAAAATTATTTCAAAATTTTGATAGAGGTCCAAATGATTGATATAGTGCCTACTATTGTCTTAGCACGTAACAAGAATCCATTAAATGAGAGCTTCT